GTTTACTATTTATTGATCACCCTTAACCTTGGATCAGAGTTCTGAACTCTGGCCCTATCTCATACAAAACGCCCCCACAAACAACTCTTTATACTTGGCAAATACAGAGACATTTATGTTTTATGTTTGTTAAAGTAAGTGTAATTATTTGCTAGAGAATAAAGTAAGAGGTGATGGGGCTTGGATTGGTTTGGATTGGGGACTTTGTTTGGGGCAGACACATTGACGCCACATTATTAGTGGAGATTAGCTATTAGTATTACTTGCTTAATAGTGGGTAATCAGGGTTTATTTTAGTGAACAAGCTTGTTCATTTTGTTTACTTTTTCTTGTAAGTGAATGGTTTCGCTTAGTTTTCTTTTTAGGTATCTTTCTGTGTTACTCTTTAATAAACATATTCATTTTATTCATTTTTCATTTTACTCATTTCATGTACTTCTTTTAATGAAGAGATTCATTTTACTCGTTCATTGTTCATTCTACATTCTTGTTCTCTTTAATTAACTCTCTTTAAGTAATCATTTTACTTTCTCTTTCACTTTAATGAACATGTTCATTTTATTTGTATTGTCTCTTTGGTGAACATTTCCCTCTTTCATTTCGCTATCTCTCCACTGGACATATTCATTTCCTAAATGAACAACTCTTTTTATTTTTATTTTTTTTGTATACTCACTCCTTGACTGAGCAAAAACCCAAAACCCATTAGGAAAGATAATGCCCGCGAGAGACGAACTAATCCCGGTGGCAGCCTGGCCAAATGTCCCTTGCGCTTACTCTGCTCTCCATTCGTAATCAAAACCACACTAATTGGCATAGTAATGCAATACTGGTTGGTCTGCGCCTCGAGAATATATATATCCCCGGACATTGAGATCGAGGATATGGAGATGGAGATATGCACGCTTGGCCGGTCGCTGGGCATGAATGGGAATGGGAATGGGAATGGGATCTCTGGATCCGGATCCTGTCTCAATTAAGGAGATGCCATAATTGAGCAGCCTGAGGATTTAACCATAGGATAACAATTAGCCAAAGGATTTGACGACGGAAGCTGCCGCCATTGTGCCTAGCTCCTTGTACTTAACTTGTGTCTTTTTCTTTTTTTTTTTTTGTCTTCTTGCTGCTACTTGGCTGTGCACTTCCGTTTGCGGAAGTGGCTAATACCTGTTCCTGGCTACTGTGTTGCCATTATCCCCGGCCAAGTGTGCACTTTGCATATGGCCAACGAAAACAAACAAGTGATCCTGCAGCAGACCCTTAAGCCCCTTGGTCCTGGTTAGTCTTTTTAGCCTTTGTCTGGAGGAGCACGTGTAATCCCCGAATCTCACTTCCTCGACGACTACTTACTTCCTCATTAGGAGGGACTCCTCTCATGAGGAGTCGGGACACTTCAGCCGAATTGCCTGATGGGCTTAGGCATTCACAGAGGCAGAGAGCAGGCCCAAAACTAATCATATATATTCGTGCACTCGTCGTTCCAGCTAATCTTATTTTATAAATATTTTAAGGAGAGTAAGAGAGATATTTTCGTGAATGAAAATGTATATTGAAAAGGGGAAACCCTTGAACAATTCCTTGGGCTAATTTATGTACTATTACTTATTTATTTTATACATGTTTTAGGGGAGAAAAGGAGATATAGGCCCTTAAATTAGATTAACAAATATAAAATAATGTAACAAAACACCTTGAACTCTAATAATAACATAAGAAGCATTATAAATATCTTTTAATAAATAAATAAATTATAAATCATACAACAAAATGACTTATAAATCTTATAATAACAAAGTTTTCGGAAGAATATTACTGGGATTTGCTTAATCGTATCTAAAGTCATAGTTAAATCATCATTAAGCTCTTAAATTGGATTTATAAATATTAAAATATATAATAAAATGGCTTACCACACTTATATTAAGTTAATTATTAAACAAATACTATTTTTCTTTACTTTCCCCACCCCTTTACAATTTATTTTCTTCGAAACAAAATGGTTTCCCTTGACAGCCCTTAAAGGACCTCGGACATTAGCATTCCAAATGTTAACCCATTAAGACAAAGGCCCGCGAAAGGAGTTGACAGCAGTTCCGTGAAGCCTCACCCTTTATTTCAATAAATATATATATTTTTTATTTTTATTATTTGTGTTTTTATTTTTTTTTGGCTGGTGGGCCATATAAGGCGAAACCCCTTTCAGTCAATTAGTCGCTGATTTTCTTTGTGCCCCGTGGCCTGCCAGCGAGGAATAAAACTCGCGGCAACAATGGGAACCCTTTTTTTTACAGGACTAAGGTCCTGTGGGCTCTCAGGCTCTTCGGACCCTGAACTTCGGTTTATGGCCTGGCTAAAAAACGGCAGCGGTTGTCTTTTGGGAATCGGAAAGTGCTAGGGTTTTCGCCCGAACTTTTCATTATGCAATAAAACACTCGCCGTTTTTTAGGCAATATCCAAGCAACCCGTTCGGGCGGCTCTACCTGATGCCCGCCGATCTCGTAAAAAACGCGCTCAAGGCCACCGAAAGGATTGCACAAATATTGCATCTTTGGTACCGAGCTCATTATGGGCCACGTTTTTTACGGTTATTTTTATACTTTTTCGCTGAATCTGGTTTTTACCATGAATTCAGCAACTCTTTTTGGCTTCGAGACTCCGGCTCCGACTCTGAATTTTTATGACCTCGCCCAGGGAGGACCTCTCAAGAGGTGAAGCCTCAGGTAAGCGAATCCTAAATGGACACAGAAAACGCGGTCGAAGGTGAAGGCGGAGTTTTTAAGTTTAATCCACCATTTTTACGGTTGGATTAGTGCCTGGATTAGTGGATAAGTTCGCGGTTTTTTACTGATTAATGAATCGAAGAGGAAACCTCTTTTTACTTTGGAACTGAATGGGTTTTGGGCTGTAAAAAGTGAAATGAATGGAATGAATTTGATCCTTGAATTGCAGAGGGAAGAGAAGGGACTTCATGGATATTGTTTATAGGGTTTACCGATCAAGAGATCATAGAAGGAGGCCTCTACCCGTTCCCATGACTCGTAAGCCACTTCCGTTGGCCATGTTAAACAAGAAACGATAGAGAGTCACACAGGAAGCCTAAAAAGGATAAGGATGCTCAAGTGGGTGGACAAACATAACGGACACTTGTCGCAATGATCCTGCCGAGTGAGTGGCGGCGGCGTCATGAATCAAAATCGAATAACCCTGAGACTGTGTCCAAAACCCGGTCGAAGGACACTCTTAGAACTCTCTCGGGATTCTGGGAAACATTTCGGCGTATGCAAAACTCGGCCTAATTTTCTATAATTTGTCACGCACGCAAAATGCATTTTTGTGCAAGATTCGCAGGCTCGCAGCATCGCTGGTCAGCGGAAGGATTTGGCGGGACAATGGCTGAAAACAAACGGATTTAGCATTCGCAACCCTTGAGCATTGTGTGCATCCATCATCAGCCAGCCCAGCTCCGTCTGCGCATCCTTTCGCAAAATATCCTTCTGCTGTGCTAACGCCTACTCCGCCTCCTACTCCTAGGCTGCCCGGGCAGGACACGCTTCCCCGCTGTTCTAGCCAGAAAAATGATTTGCTCCTAATGAGAAATATTCCAGAATCCAAAGCATAGAGTCGAGTAATGGGAATTTGAATTATAGATAAAGGTATGAATTGATAGGGAAATTGATATGAAATGATTATGATTGGGTTAGTATTTAAATCAAGGATATTACATTGTTTTTTGAAGGTTTTTTTCGTTAAATTATTGCAAAGACCCCTTGGAAATTGATTTATAAACAAAAGAATAATCATAATTGTCAATATAATGTAAATATTATAAATTATAAAGAATGCAATCCAAGGATTTATAGATTTTATAAATAATTATATGTTAATCGTAATATTATTTGTATAGAGAATGTATTTTATAAATGAGAAAGAATAAAATGTAATAATGAAAGGATATGGGACAGCATAATGCATAAGAATAAAATAATAATAAAATGATTTCTATTTTTTGTCAATATAAAATGTAGTAAAGTATATATAAATATTTATATAATTACCACAATATTATTTGTATACAGAATATATTTTAAAAAGGATAAAGTATATAATTTAATTCAAGAATTTCGAGGCGTTTCTCTTGGTATAAAGAAGAAACCTTCAAATGTGTATAGAAATCATCATCATAATCATAATTGTAAATAAAATATATCATAAATTATAAAGAATATAATATAAAACAAGGATTTCAGAGGTTTCTTTGAGTTATTTTCACCAAAGCAAGAAAATTGTAACCCTAAACTAACCCTCACATATATCAGACATTTCTGTAATAACCGGAAATTGTATAATATTTATTAACAAATATATAATATAATATAATAATAATAATCTAATATTCATTATCAAAATCTTAATTTATACATTATTTTGTTCCCTTAAAAACCAACCAACCCAATCTCTGCTTTAAAACCTCAATTCTATGCCAAACCCTGCTCTTAGTTTTAGTTTACTTTTCATAGAACCCCATTTCGCTCTTGAATTTCCCTGCATTTCCTCATTGAGCCGCCTCCCATATAACCCTTGACAAAAACAAAAAAAAAAAAACACCAATATCCTTTCGCGGAAACTGTTTAAAATTTAGAATAAAAAAATATGAGAGAAAAACTCTTTTTTTTCTTACTTTTCGTTTTGTGAAATTACGCTAAATGGCGAGGCAACAATGGACAAAAAGGACCAAGGAGTAGATTTTCGCGAAAAATGCGAAAAGCCAGAGCCCGTTACAGCTACCCTTGTAAAACAGAACCCTTTGAGGGCAGCGAGAACGAGACGGCAACAGAGTCACCCCTTTGCAATGCTCGGCTACCTGCTCGTGCCGCTTCGGCAGCGACTTCGTGTCCGCCATTTGCGCAGCAGCCGAGGGTTAGCCGAGGTGACCCGAGGGACCCTGAAGCAGCGTATAAAAGCCGAGCCAGGCCGAGCAGGAAATCAGTTTGCGTTCGACATCATCAGCGTAAAGATATAGACACACACACACACACACACAAATAGAGAAAGCACAGCCGCAGCACAGATCTAGACAAGCACAAAGATTGGATAAAACAAAAAAGAAACATGCTGATGCACGAGAAACTCATGGCCGGGCAGTTCTTCGATCTCAAGAATGGTGAGTAAAAGCTACACTAGAGAAAATTAGGGATTTATTTCAAACAAAATCAAATGAAAATAATTAAAATAAAAGAATCTAAAGAAATAGCAAAAGAAACTATATAAAAATCATCTAAATAAACTAGAAAACTAACCCATATCCTTCTCTGTTCCCTTTACAGATCGCAAGCCCCTGTTGCACCACCACCAGTTCCAGCACCATCAACAGCAGCATCCGCAGCAGCAGCAGCCCCAGCAGCACCATCACCACCAGAGCCTGGGTCAGCCCCTGCACCACCACCAGGCCCAGCTGGGTCTGCCCCATGCCCAGTCCCTGGCCGTGGGCCTGCCCAAAATGGATCTGTATGCGGCCTATGCCTACCAGCAGCAGTTGCTGGGAGCCGCTCTCAGCCAGCAGCAGCAGCAGCAGCGGGAGAGGGAGCAGCAGCAGCAGCAGCCAGCCCCCGCCGAGGTCCTAGATCTCTCCCGCCGCTGCGACAGCGTGGAGACACCCAGGAAGACCCCCTCGCCCTACCAGACCAGCTACAGCTATGGCAGTGGCTCGCCCTCGACCTCGCCCACCTCCAGCCTGGTTTACCTCCAGCAGCAGCAGCAGCAGCAACAGCAGCAGCAGCTGGCCTCCCTGTACCCCGGTTTCTACTACGGCAACATCAAGCAGGAGCAGCAGCAGCAGCAACAGCAGCAGCAGCTTCTGGCCCCCAAAGAGCAGCCTGCTCCCTTGAAGGTCACACCCACGGCCAGCCTGCTGCAGACCTTTGCTGCCGCCGCCGCAGCAGCTGCCTCCAATCCTCGCCCGGCCAGCAATGCCAGCCATGCCAGCACCATGCAGATCGATGTCCTCGAGAATCCCCAGTCGCCGCCCAGCTCTGCCGCAGCCTGTGTCCCAGCCACCACGCCAACTAGCTCCAGTTCCCAGCAGCCGGGTGGTGGTGAGCAGGGTAAGAGCACGCGTCCCTTCAAGGCCTTTCCCAGGGATCCTCTGGTGATTGCAGCCAACTTTGCGGCCACCGATGTCCTGCTGGATAATCCCCGAGTGGAGCGCTACACCGAGTACCGCAAGCGAGTGCTGGAACAGATTCGCAGCTCCAATGGCGGGGCTCGAACGGTGACCAATCCCAAGATGAGGAGAACCAACTCACGCAGCGGCTCTGTCAACGAGGGCAGCTCCTCGAACAACAACAGCGAGAGCGAGGATCGGGCAGCGGCCGAGGAGTCCAGCGATTGCGATTCCCAAGCAGGACACTTTGAGGGCAAGTCATCATCCACCAACTCCTCCTCCGCCTCAAATGGTAATGGCGTGACCACTTCCCTTGCTGGCCACTGCTCTGCCTCGTCAAACTCCTCTTCCTCCGGTGGCCTGGGCGTGGGTCAGGTGAAGGATGCCGCCTACTATGAGCGACGGCGCAAGAACAATGCCGCCGCCAAGAAGTCCCGCGATCGTCGCCGCATCAAGGAGGACGAGATTGCCATTCGGGCAGCCTATCTTGAGCGCCAGAACATCGAGCTGCTCTGCCAGATTGACGCTTTGAAGGCGCAACTGGCGGCCTTCACCGCCAAGGTGGCCTAGGATAACCAGCACTAGCATCCAGCATCCAGCATCCTTGGAGGCTGCCCAATCCGGCTGCTCTTGTTGCGTTGAACGCGAAGATTCGGCTTCGATTCGGCTGCAAAAATCTCAAAATCTCTCTGCTATTATTTTATATATATTTTTTTTTTTGGGTCAGCTTATCTGTGAATACCGTGAAACTGAGCTGACCAGAGGACACTCGCATCTAAGTACTCCAAGTTATATTTGTGAAATGCTCTTGCCCACCTACCAGTTGACTAATCCATCGCAGCATCGATTAGCCGTAGCCTCTAGCCCTAGTTGTAGCCTCGGTCTCAGCACACATAGACTTAAGGACATTTTTTTGCCTAGACTTAAGTACAAAATTACAAAAATAAAAATCTAACAAAAACAAAATAATTGAATTGGTGTTTTTTCTTTTTTTTGATGGTTATTTATAGTAAATATTCATTTCAGCCTCCAGAAAACTTAATTATAAAAGAAAAGTCCTTGTAGTGTTTGATTTTCTTGGTATTTTCCTTGAATTCCCATCAAGGGAAACCATATATTTTATAGACTTCCTTCGAATGTTTAATTTCAAAAATACATAACATGAAGTTTTTGGATAAACAACTTATTTAAAGGTTGTTTTGTATATTCTATATATGGTATATTTCTATATATTATTGTTTTGTGAAAATAATTTCAGTTAATCAACAGTAGGGCTGATTTAATATTTTAAAAATATTATAAATATTATTAAAACTATTATTACTTTAAAATTATAAATAAAATCAATTGAAAGACAAAAAATATATATTTTTTGTCAAGATTATTTCAGTTGATCCACAGTAGACTCGAGATTTAATATTTTAAAAATATTATAAATATTATTAAAACTATTATTACTTTAAAATTATAAATAAAATCAATTGAAAGACAAAAAAATATATTTTTTTGTGAAGATTATTTCAGTTGATCAACAGTAGGGCTGATTTAATATTTTAAGAATATTATAAATATTATAAAAACTATTATTACTTTAAAATTATAAATAAAATCAATTGAAAGACAAAAAATATATATTTTTTGTCAAGATTATTTCAGTTGATCCACAGTAGACTCGAGATTTAATATTTTAAAAATATTATAAATATTATTAAAACTATTATTACTTTAAAATTATAAATAAAATCATAAATATATATGGTTCAGTTGATCCATAGTAGTTTCAAAAAATAAAAATTAAAAAAAAAGTAAATTTGATATAAAGTCTTGTTAATAAAAATCACAAAATATTCATATTTTTCAATGCTTAAATAAAGCATAATTAAGTCAAAAACAGCTTGAATTTCCATTCCAAAAGTTACTTTTTAAAGATTTAGAAATATATGCATACTTTCTTTTTAAACTATTAAAAAAATATTCCAATTTTTTTAATAATTTTTGGGAAGAAGTAAAAATTTGAAAAATCAATTACTCAACCAAAAATGCAATAAATTCAATTCGGAAAGCTGTTTTCTTTCATTTTTTAAAAATCAGCATGCTGCATTTTGAGGTTTTTTCAATTTCCTTTTTTTTTGTTTGCCAATTTTTTGAACTTTTTTAACGATGTAACCCCTTATGAAATTGTGAAAAAATGGCACAACATTTTTTTTCCAGACATGTCTAGAAAGACTCGCCTGTTGATGCTTATCAAAAATATATATGATTTATGGGGTCGGAAATGATTTCTGCACTTGACTAAAGTCAAGAAGCCCGGAAATATTTGAAGAATTCTTTAAATAAATATTTATACATATTTATCAACGTTTAAAAATATCTAATTAAGCAAAAAAAAAAAAGCATAAAATTACACTCGGTAATGTTTTTTTGTTAGTTTTTAATAAGCTTATAAATATGCATTCTGAATTTAATATTTAAGAAAATTATATCTCGAAAGGATTTGTATTGTAAATGCTTTATTCATAGTGTTTTCTCTTTGTACATTTTTTTGCTAATTCATAATTTCATATCAACCACATGTTGGCTTTCTCTAAGGTGAATTTTTATGTCCTGCTTGCTACCCTGCTTGGCTCAACCACTGCAAGCTGTTTTGAGTTGCTTTTTCTTCGCACGGAGCAGTGCGCGGTGCCTGGCAGTGCATCTTCGAGTCGCACAAGCACTTTCCGCCGCAGCTGCGCAACTGCTTTGCCACGTTCCGGGAGCGCCTGCAGCAGCTCGGCCGCCAGGATATGGCCGACAGTCTGATCTCGGCTAGCATTTTTCTGCGCTTCCTTTGCCCCGCCATCCTGTCGCCGTCGCTGTTCAATATCACCAGTGAACTGCCCATCGGCGCGGGCCACCCGCAATTTGACGCTGGTGGCCAAGACCCTGCAGACGCTGGCCAACTTTACCCGCTTCCAGGGCAAGGAGTACTTTATGGAGTTCCTCAATGACTTCCTCGAACAGGAGGCCGGTCTCATGCAGCAGTTTCTGGAGTTTACATCGACGCGGCCAGAGCATCCGGCGCCGGACTCAATCCTCGACTGGGCCGGCTTCATAGATCAGGGCAAGCAGCTGTCCATTCTGCATAGTTTGCTTAACGAGAGTCTGGCCAAGCTGCCGGAGGCCAGGCAGCATGAGCTGGATCTCCTGCAGCATATTCTGGACGAGATCACCAGGGCCCGGGAGCAGGGTAGCCTGGGCGTGGCCACACCCGGTGGCTATTTGCCGACCACCTCGTCCACGCACTAGATAGCCAGCGAGAATCAGGAGAATCGCCATTCAGGCGGTTTGGCGAGCAATCCAGAGCAGCAGCAGCAACAGCAGCAGCAGCAGTTGGATGCCCCAGCACCAGAGCCCGCTGGCGCAGCCACAGCATGCGATTGTCAGCAAGCCCTTGTCGGCGGAAAGGGGCATCATGCAAGGTGTGCTCACGCCCAATTCGCTGGAGAAGAACATCTTTCGGTATAATGATCCCACAGTGAATGGTTTGCTCCAGCAGCAGCAGCAGTTGGAACAGCAGCAGCCACAGCATCCCCACCATCAGCATCCGCTGCAGCTGCTCTCCAACTCCCAAACCTCGATTGCTGCCAGCAACCAGTACATGAACTCGCCCGGTGGCGGCCTGCAGCATGCCCAATCGCAGCCCTCCATGGCCAGTTCATCGCTCAATGGAAGCAGCAGCAACCTGCTGCATGCAGGCCACCAGCAACAGCAGCAGCAGCTAGTCCATCAGCAGCAGTAGCTTCATCAACATCACTGCCCGCCGGCTCCACAGACGAGTGCCTCCAGCACCATGGAGCGCATGGATCGCATGGATCGCCTGAACTATCCCTATATGGCCCACAATGGCAACGACTACGAGGCCAGCACCCCTTCCAGCACTCGCTCCAGGACACTGCCACGCAATGGGAATCCAAATGGCTCCACCACCATGATGACCAGCATCAGCAACAACAACAACAGCAACAACAACAATCAGAGCGGCAGCTACGACGACATGCACGGTGAGATTTAGATACAGATCTCCGGTCTGGACACAAGCAGTGCCCTTGTCTGCAAATCCCCAACGCCCATGATGAAGTCCAGCTTGGGCGGCGGAGGACCATCAGCTGGCGGGCGAAGCCACCTCAAGCTGAATCTGGGAATACCCGATCATTCGGGCGGCTATGCGCGCAACAATAACCTCAATCCCAACTCGAATATGCGCAAGAACCTGGAGGATCTTGACGATCTGTTCAAGTATGCCGAGGAGCATGATGTGGCGGAGCCAGGCAGTCACCATCACCATCATGGTCACAGCCAGAGTCAGAGTCAGAGCCACCAGCAACAACAGCAGCAGGGACAGGGACAGGGACAGGCACAGGCACAGGGACAAGGACAAGGACAACACCTCAAGCCAGGTGCCAGCGGCAAAGAGCAGCTCTCGGCCAAGAGCAGCCACTGCAGCTCCGGCTATCAGAGCATCTCCACCAATCCCTCGCCCTCGCAGTCATCCATTCCCGTGGGCAGTCAACTGAAGGCATCAATGGCCAGCGGCCCCAATGCTCCGCTAGCTTTCAAGAATCCCTCCTATCAGCTACAGCCTCAGATTGGTGGCGGTGGTTCCTCCTCAGCCCTCTCCTATCAGCAGTTGCAGCAGCAGATTGGCAGCCGACTGAAGCCCATTGGAGGCGGCTTGGTGGCCGCCAGACCGGCGTTCCTTAACAATGGAGGAACCCTGGATGCGGCCACTTTAACGCCCAGCTCCTCGGATAAGCAACTGTCGGCGGATAACTACTTTAGTTATGCAGCTGCGGCGGCGGCGGGAGCAGGAATTTCCGGCAAGCTGGAGGCACAGCGCTCGCTCAGCGGCGGCAGCAGTTCCTCCACCTCGAATCTGGGCAAGAGCGGTAATGGCAGCAATGCCTATGGACACCTAAATGGGCCATTAAAGCGAGAGGATGTCTACGGCAGCGGCTACGGCGGCAGCAGTGGCAATGTGGGCTATGTCGGTGGACACCACCAGCAGCATGCCCAGCATCCGCAGCAGCAGCAACAGCAGGCACAGCAGCAGCACAAAGCACCACCGAAGAACCAGAAGCCACAGTGAGCGGATGGATGGATGAAGGAGGACACAGAGAAGCAGTAGGAGACCCAAACCCCAACCCCAACCCCAACCCAACCCCAACCCAAGCCAAGACCAAGACCTAGGATACTGACGGTGGCATCTTTTCGTTGTACACAAAACACACACATAGAATATAAAACTATATCATCGGGACACCGTCGTGGTTCTCTGGCTTTTTTGTTTATTTTTTTTTAGCTATTTTTTTTTGTATGCTACACATAAATTATACTACATGTTTAATAATATATAATAACGCATAACATACACATACAGTTATAAATAATTTCTCAATCTATGTTTAAAAACAAAACAAGAACAAAAACCAACCAAGATGTGAAAATGCAAAAAGCAAAAGCTATCGGCAAGCAGAGCAGTAAGATAATCTGAAAAGTAGAGATACAAAAGAAGAAAGTGAATCCGAAATGGATCTGAAATGGAGTAGAGAGCATGGCAGTGTGAAGAAAGAAACAAGAACAAGTTTAAGATAATGAATAAAATTATAACCAAAGTTAGACAAAAAAATGGATCCTGTGTTGTGTTTTTACTTTGGCTTTATTGACGTTTGCAGTTCTGAACAGAATGCAGCGGAGTGTAAATTAAATTTGGTGTCCTTGCTGGCCATCAGGTGAAAGGCCTCGTTGTCCAGCGGCATGCTATACTTTTGCAGCTCGTTGACCAGTTCTGATTCTGTGGGATATTCGCGTCCTCGTCCATAAGCTCCAGCTCCATGACCTCACAGCGCGTTAGCACCTTGATCTGTGGCAAGTGGCGACGCAGCATGTCCTGGGACTCGTCGTTCTGGGCGAACAAAGTGAGATGCGAA